GTCTGCTGGGGTCCACCTGTTGCCCGGGCAAGCCTCTGTTGTTGGAATCACTTTTTTGGCCCAAACCCCCCGCGCCCCAACCTTACCTTTGGAGTTGCTCTTAGAGAGAAGGTTGCTAGCATTTCTCATATTTTCATAGTTAGTTTCTTTTTTTTTAAGGCTTATTTACTGTAGCGCCTCTGAAACTTCGGTCAAATCTCACTCTGCCCCTCCAAACTTAAAATGACCCACTTTCATCCATTGACCGAGGCTTGGTGACTCACTTTGCCCCATGCCGTCAACTCCATCTAAAAATCTGTTAACTTTAATGACATGACAAGGGTGTTTTTGTAATTTGTACACATGGATCATATCCACCAATTAGAAGAGTGACGTTGGAGCCCACCTTCTCCACATGGATAAAAATATAATTAAATATTATAATAATCAAAAGTTTAAAAAAAATAAGAAAAAAATATTTTCACATAATTAAAAACTCTACCCATCACCCCGGTGGCCCCCATACTCCTACCCACCCACGACCATCCTCCCTTACCCCCCAAGCCACCATTAATCCTTACCCACAGCCAACCCCAGCAACAAATCTACAAGTAGCTCCTCCAATTTCTCCACCCGAAGTTCAATATACAACCCAACAACCATCTTGGCCATCTTCTTATTGATCTTCCACCAAGCATCCAACACTATCTTCATCTCTCTGCTTTTGTTTTTGTTTTTAAATTAAATTTTTTAGTTCATTTTTTTTGTTGGTTGCAGATTCAATTTTTTTTTAGTTCATTTTTTTTGGGCATTCGTGGATTTAAAAAAATGTTTACTTGTGAAGCAGAAAGAATCGATGGGTTATGGATGAGGGAGAGTAAAGCTTGAAAAATTCATGATTTTTTTTATTTTTGTTCTAGGTTTGATCTGCTGATGATGGCATAGACAGACTCACATGTGGAGGGAGAGAGAGAGAGAGATTTTTTCGAACCCTGCCACCATCATAACCCTCCCTCTCTCGATCTCCAACCAACCTTAAGAGCAAGTCCACCCTTGCTTCAAAACCGGGCAAAAGGCAGCCCATGGGGGAAGGAAGCAGCTCCAGCACGCAAGGGCCAGCCCTGGCAAGAGCTGGGTCCCACGAGCCCAAGCAAGCCTATGGGTAAATTCAGCCCAAGTTGCTGCCTGGGCAGAATGATGCAATGCTGACGTCATAATGACATAGCAACCCAAAAAAATGAAAAAAAATACCAAAAATTCCAGAATTTTTTTAAATAAATACCTAGGCATATTCTTTACTTCCCACATCAAAAACTATATACAAATTCACCTTTTCATATCTCATATGAATAGTATTTACCTTAGACTTGCACTAGACTTAGCTCTCATGGGTGGAACCACAAATGAAAAGGCTGACACTATTCACGTGAATAGTAGCAGCTCTTGCCTTAGACTTAGCCCTTGTGGGTGGAAGTGCTCTAACACCCAACTTCAAATCTAGGTTGCTTGAAACCCAGCCCTCTTCCCCAACCTAAACCCCCTCTTCTCTCTCTCTCTCACTCTCTCACAGATTACCATCTTCAAGCCTATAAGAGCCCCAAAAATCAAGCCAATCCAATTGAGATATACCTAACAAAAACAAACCCAAATTCATATATGTGTTGTTTTCATCCCAATTAAATTGAATCTATTTAAAAGATATATATTTAAATGAGTTATTTTGTAGTTAACATTGTTCTTACCAAAAAGAGGGATAAATAGATTCAATTTTCACAAACAAACAAACCAGAGCAAGACTGTTATGATTTCCTTGGTGAGCTTCAGCCAAGAAAGAAAAAGAAAATAAGAAAATGAGAGAACTTTGTCTCCTCTAATACGAATCTGTGAGAGAGAGAGAGAGAGAGAGAGAGAGAGAGAG